TCTCTCTGTCCCCCCTCCCTCCCTCTCCCCCCCCCTCCCCGGTGACCCCCCCCCCCCCCCACACTTGGACCTCCGCCTCACAAATGAGCCTGAGAGACTCGTGGGGTGAAACATTTGATCTCCTGGTGTCTCCGAGGCGATGACATCAGGAATCAGCGGGTGGAGGGGGGAGGGGGGAAACAAAAGAAGAAGAGGCTGCTTGACTCGCTCTCCTCAACCCCCCCTCCCTCTCCTCACCCCCCCTCCCTCCGTTACTGAAGTGCATAAAGTGCCAACTTGGATATTTACTTGAGTCACCTGGAGCGCCCGCAGGACCCGCTCGGTGACAGATACGGTTGTTGTCGGGGGGGGGGGGGTTTGATCATTCCAATGCAGACAAACAGGAACTACAAGAAGCCACAGACCTGCTCTCATTGGCTCTCACACAGCCAGTTACCATAGAGACTGGGATTCCATTGGCTGGCGGGAAACAGCAGCCGGTTGCTATGGTAACCATGAAGACTGGTATACCTTTCAGAGACGGAGGGAGGGGGGGGGCTGAGTGTAAATAAGAAACCCTTTCTCTGTGCATCTCCAGTGTTCTAGTCCCACGTGTTTGCATTATCGGGGATTCTCTGTTTGAGGGTCTGAGGGGGAGGAGGGAGGAGGGGGCGGAGTCTGACAGCTTTCAATCCCTCACAGCGCTGCGTTACCTCACTTGGACTGTGTCAGGATTTCTTTAGGGGCCAAATGTATCGCTCTCTGCTCGTACGAATGTCCGTGTCGTCGCCTTGCAGCTTTTTTGGACATTTCTGCGTCCCGCTCGCTCACAAATCGACCTTCAGTCATCGTGTTCTGAGACCGTCAGTCGGCTGCTGGTGGCGGGAGAAAAACAAACCCAACACAAACACTTCATAAAGTGGTCTCTCGGAGGTTATTTAAATGTTTTTCTTTTGTAGTTCTGTACAGGCAGAGTTAGACTGCATTTCCCAGAATGCACCGGGAGAGCCTGCTGAGAACTCTCTGATGCAAGTTGAAGCAGGAAGTAGTGAGAGTAGAGACGAGCTTTCAGGAAAACAAACATGAATGTTGCGCCCTCAAAACGCACGACGGAGCTGCAACACACGTCTGTCACGTTCGTCGTCGACGTTTCGGTTTGAAATGATTTTATTCTGAAAGCGTTTTAATCGGACGACTCAATAAATAGAAGCCTCAAAGCACGCTGAAGAAGCTGCAGCCGGAGCATCAGTCTGCGTGAACTCTGCGTGAAAAATCCCTCAAAGGATCGATCAACGCTCGTCAAGAAAAGTCGCCAAGAAGTAATTTCCTGTTCTTGAATTGAACGCCGCCCGCAGCTCGGCGTGTAAGTGTCGCTCCTCGTAGAACGCCAAAGCAGAATCCTGCAGCGCTCCCTGAAAAAAATCCACGCTTGAAGTGAGCAGAAAAAACGTCTCTTCTCTCACCGGCGACCTTCAGCTGTAGATTAAAAATTAAAAACACGTTTACAAATCAAAAGTCTGCAATCGATGCTCTTAACAGTAAAGAGTTGACGTGTGTTGCCGTGGTAACCTTTTCTTAAATCAGAACAATAACTGATCTTCTGCAGGTTTGAGACACAAAACTGAAGCTGCAGGGAGGACGAGTGTGCAGCAGCCAGCGCGGTGCAAAAATCACACATAAACAGAGTTTACTGAAACGCTTTCAAATCGGCCAATCAGGACGTCCGCGAGGTGAGGCGCAGCTGAGAGAGTTTCCCTCGACGTCTAGCTCCGATTTGATCTCTTTTTTATTTCCTGTAATGAAACCTTTTCTTAATGTAACGCTTTATTCAAAACTCGATGACCGAACTGAGAAACGCAGCAGCAGCAGAGGAGGATGAGGGGGAGGAGCTAGAGGAGGAGGGGGAGGAGCTAGAGGAGGGGGAGGAGTCTCTGGTTTGATACTTTTTCAGGGTTTTTCTTTCTCATGCAGTAATGTGTCCTCGTCTGTGATGTCCATGCATTTCTGGAGCTGTGACGTGTGATCTGCCGGGGAACAAGGGGATGAATTAAGGGTGATGGATGAAGATGATGATGATGATGATTTTTCTTTGTAGCCTTTTAAAAACCGGTCAGGGGGGAGAAGTGATCGTCGCCTCTCGACGTCTCTTTTTATTTTTGTAAACCAAAATGGTTTTTATTATTTTTTTGTTTTCGTTGTTGCACCTTTTTTTTTAGCCCGATGTGTTACTTAACTAGTTGTTCAATGTGCCAAATAACTGTTGCTGATGGAGAGGAACCAATGGGAAGCCTCCTTTTCTCTGGACTCTTTTCGACCCCGCTGATTTCTAACACGGACTTTGTGTTGGGAGTCACGGCGGCGTCTTTTTGAAGGGTACAAAACTGTGACCAAACCGAAGAAGGTGTGTGTGTGTGTGTGTGTGTGTGTGTGTGTGTGTGTGTGTGTGTGTGTGTGTGTGTGTGTGTGTGTGTGTGTGTGTGTGTGTGTGTGTGTGTGTGTGTGTGTGTGTGTGTGTGTGTGTGTGTGTGTGTGTGTGTGTGTGTGTGTGTGTGTGTGTGTGTGGCCATGGAGACACACACCTGCCACCCGGCTCTACTCTCTCTCTACTCGTGGCTGAAGGTTTCCTTTCTGACTGTGTGTGTGTGTGTGTGTGTGTGTGTGAGCGTGTGTGTGTGTGCTTCATTCTGTGCGGTCGCCCGGTGGACTCTTTCATTTATTTTTATTTTTTTCTCACACAGATTTTCACGAGACAATTAAAAAAAGGATGGCATATAGGAAAAAAAATCAAAGTATATATAAAATATATGTGTATATGAAATGACCAGATGCTCTAGGTTTATTTAAAGATGTAACGGTGAGGAGGAGGCGTGGTGTCGGGGGGAGGGGGGGGGCGGGGGGGTCGATGTGACTTTAATTGTTTGTGGTGACGACTTCAGCTCAAATCTTTGCACATAAAGACTTTAGATATCGTACCTGCGAGTTCCAGATGATTATTTTTGTTTGAATACAGGACTCTTTGCTCTTTTCATATTTATTGCGTGCGAGGGGAGCGCTCTCTCTGGCTCCGCCTCCCCTCGGCGTGCGTGCGCGAGCCCTCAGCCGAGAGCTCGCCGTAGAACCTCCTCCGGTTTACGCCATCTTTGTTTAGTTTTCGTACGCCACAGACAAACACAGATACTACTGGCTTTGGGTTATTATTGCCATTAAGGTTCTGAGAATACTGATATATAATTGATGATATTATTCCATGATTATGATTAAATTTATTTTATTTCAAGGATTTCTTTGTTTCCTTTGGTTTTCACACAGGTAGGACGTTGCGTGTTGGACTGCTTGTAAAAACAGTTCATGAATAAAAATCCTTTTTCCGTGTCGCCTCGTGTCGCTGCTGCTTTGATTTCTCTTCAACACCAGCTGACCTTTGACCTTTCTCTGTGACCTCTGGGTTTAAAGGTTCACGATCACGAGAGAGAAAATGTTTGAAGTGTTTAATCAGGATTAATCACATGTTTGAAATTCCATTATTTCACATTTAAAAAATAAAAATTGTTGGGCTTTTATTTTGAAGGTTTGTACTCTGAAGCCAAGAGTACTTTTCTTGCTGTATGCTTTTATTTTGAAGTAAAGTTAAGAAGGTTAGGACAGGAAGTTAAGCCCATAAACAGGAAGTGGTAAGGGATCGTCAAACATCTCAAATCAAATGGTAACAAAGGTCAATGTGTGATGTCATGAGGTCAATGTGTGATGTCATGAGGTCAATGTGTGATGTCATAAGGTGGATATTACTTTGGACTCGTCAGCTGAGCTGTCTGAGAGTTTGTTAAAGTGAAATGAGACATTCACAGATGCAGCAGTTTCCTGTTGTGATGTCCTCATCCAACAAATTGACTTCCAGGAGACTTGATTTATAAAGATTCCTTGAAGTCTTTGATTTCCAGGTTTCCAGGTGTCAGGAGGTTCAGGATTCCTGGTCTTTATTACAAATTCTTCACAGTTATTACATGACACCACATTTTCTGTTTACTGTGTGGGATGTTTATTCTTTTCTCTGGCCTCCATACGTGGAGCTTTAATGCAAATGATGACCCCGAGAAAGCAAATGAATCCAAACGAGCTCACAGCTGGAATATTCCAGATGTTTCTCCTGCGTGCAGATGATGAACACTTCAAACATTTCACCTCCAGCAACATCCTGATGTGACGTCCAGACTTTACACCCCCCGAGCTCCGCCTGTAAGTTCAGAGGTAAGAGGATAAAAAGTGAAGCAACGATTCTGACTTTTCCGGACATGAGGAGCCGGATCTGAAAGACAGAGGCAACGGGTAAATACAAAATAAAACAGGAAGTGACAAAATTACTCAAACACATGGACAGAAACTAAATGTGACCTCAGGTAACTTTTGTGTAAAGATCTCAAGAAAACAAACTCGTCATCAGGGGAAACCTGAGAGAATAAAATGTTTGACTGCATGTCCTCTTTGGGCTTCCGTCCAAAATAACTTTGTTTGAATTGTATTTTTTTGTACATGTCAAACCGGAGATGTTCAGCATCACAAAAAACCTTAAAGTGAAATCTCTGACTTCACTAAAAGTCACTTTCCATAAATACAGAAGAGGATTAGGGAAACTGAAAAAAAAATGTTTGGTTCTGACTTTTTTTTCAGAATTCTGGCTCCGAAAAAAATGAGTCAAAATTCTGAGAAAAAAGTCAGAATTAAAAAAAAGAAATAATTTTTTTTTTTTTTAAAGTCAGAATTAAAAAAAAAAATCAAAATTAAAAAAAAAAAAAGTCAATTTAAAAAAATAAATCAAAATTAAAAAAAAAAAAAAGTCAGAATTAAAAAAAAAGTCAGAATTAAAAAAAAAATCAATTAAAAAAAAAAAAAAGTCAGAATTAAAAAAAAAAGTCAGAATTTAAAAAAAAATCAATTTAAAAAAAAAAAAAGTCAATTAAAAAAAAAAGTCAGAATTAAAAAAAAAAAAAAAGTCAAAATTTAAAAAAAAAATAAGACTTAAAAAA